CCGGGGCGGGGGCGGGGGCGGGGCAGGCGCCGCTAGAACAGGATCTCCCGCTGTTTTGCTGGCGGATAACACACTGGCGTCCGCGAAGGCGAGCGCCAGCTTTTCCCGTTGGTTTGGGAGTTGCTGCAGCACGGAAGATAAAGGGGAAGTTTCTTCCCTCGAGGAAGAAACATAAACCACTGTAGAGGGTCTGGGAAAGGACGTTCTCAGGTCCTCTACAGAGGCTGAGCGTCTGTTGAAACTCCAGCTGCCCGACTCACTGCTTTTTGCAGATACGAGATTCTGTTCAGGCAGCAGGTGGGCGCTGAGGACCTGTTCCTAGGCATGAGCAGAAAGGACCCCTCGACTGCCTGCTGTGAGGACATGCTGGTAAGAAGCAGTGGCTGCTCTCTGCAGTTAGCTTCCCTGGGGCGTTCCTTTCAGCCTTTTCTCAGTGAAAGCTATGCAGCGTTATTGGAGTTTGGCAACTGCCCTTTCCTCGTGCGCGTTGCATTATTGTCTAACGTAATGTTTCATACATCTGAGATGGCCCTTTCCCCTGTAGCCTGAATTGCTGTGTACAAATATAAGATAGGATATCCGTAAGCCTCTCTTGTCCTTGTCAAAAGATGCCCCCAACATTTGACACAGAGAGGGTTGTGCAATCATTCCAGAACCTCTAACTTTGGAATGTTGTGTGAGACAGAAAAGCAACAGCGTAACAGATCTTGCACGCACAGAAAGACACACCCCTTTCTACTGAAAATAAGCCTGGATACACGATTTTCTTTTTTTCCCATTTCAGATTAAGATTAAACTGCCGGACACAAAAGCTTCAGACATTACCCTTGATATCCAAGAAAAGCTCCTTGATTTCCGGAGTCCCCAGAAGTATGTTGGGGGATTTACATTTGTGAGATTATTCTTATATTGCCTTTTTTAAATAACATTCCAATGATAATTGAGATGTCTTGGGTGCAAGGCCCCTGTGTGGTGCTTCAGAGCAGACAGGAACAGATTGTTGCCTTCTCTCAATGGTAGGTTGGCCACGGGTTCATTGCTATCAGAGAAGGTTTGCAGCCTACTATGGAGTAGTGGCCATAGGCATTTCTTATTGGGAAAGCTTCTGAGCTTTGATATGCCTCCCTTTGATATGCCTATGTTTCTCTCTGATCTCCCCACTGCCTCTGGTTTTTACCTTCTTGCTGGCTTACTGCAAGTACTGGCGGGGAGGTGGTGCGGGGAAGCATGCTTTGGGATGTAGCAGTCTCCCTGCTCTTCGTGCATTGCTCAATTGCAGCTTGGAATGGTCTGTTTTCCAGGAGGCTCCTCTTGCATCTACCTCATCCAGTGGACACCACTGGTGGGAAAGCCTGTTTTCTGTCTGAACAGGCCACGCTGGAAGTCACTTTGAGGATGAAGCGAGAATTTGATTTCATCAACTTTGCATGAAGAGAAAGGAATGGCCCCTCAGAGGCCTAATGGAGAGTTTCTAATTAGGTAATTGAGTTGGAGACCCTGGAGGTCTGGCTGTCCTAGTTCCCTCTTCCTGAATTCTGATATTGAAATTTTTCTGGCAAACCTCCAGCTTCTCCACTTTCCTTAATTGTTGCTTGGTATGGGGTTCCACACCTCCAACATCAGGGGATCAGCCTTAGGGGGCAAGAGATGTAAAGCGGGGTTATAATGGCTGAACTGCTGACTGCTCTGGCATCTGAGGATTTGCTGCGCCCTTCATAGATAATAAAAGTCTTGCCCTTTCCTGTCTGTGCCCACTTCTGTCCTTTTCAAAAGGCCTGCGCTGAAAAGCACAGTAGGGGCTTCCTTGTATTTGATGCCTACCCACCTTGAATGGTACGGCACAGGGAGCTAAACAAGGTTGGACTTGTTCCAAGAGATGCTGACCTCTCTGGTCTAGCAATCCATCTGGGGCTCAATGAAGAGTAAGCAGTGTCCTCCACTCTGTAAACTCAGGATTTAGCAGAAGAGGGTTTCCGCTGGAAGGGCAAAGGTTGCAAGCAAGCCCATATCTTAAAGACTGCGCAGGGAGAGAGGAGCTCCTGTTGATGTGGCTTGCAGCAAAAGGAGAAGATGTGGGCCAACAAGAGCTTGTTCATGGCTTCCTCAGTAGAGCAGGACCACTTGCAAGGCGTCTGTCACCTCTCAGAAACCAATTAGGCCCTAATTCCTATTTGTTGTACTTAAATGATAGTATTTTGGTTTGATTAAGAGGGGCCCAAGGAGACAAGCTCAGGCCAGGTAAAAACAAAGATCGATATTGAAGGGAGGACAGTAAAAAGCAGTATGAGGTTAAGACAGGACACTGGACATTGTTAATACTGACTAGAGACAGGCAAGCTGCAAGAGGGGCCCAGAATTAAGGAGGACCTTGCTGGGATAAACTGCTGGCTTGGGTGGCAAGAAGCGCTGCTGAGGTCCTTCCTGGGGATGTGTTTTCTGAAGGCAAACCCCATCAGATGCACAGCAGAGACTGGACAAGAGAACACAGCAGCTGCAAATCCAGTCTGGATGGAGGAGGCCTGAACAAAAACAATAGGAAAGTGATTGTAATGTTTTCCTCCCTCTTCCCTTAAGCACGGGCAGAACGCAGCTCTCCTCCTACAGCTGCTGCTCTTGTGGGTCAGAAGAGAAGAGTGCAGCTGGCGCATCCTCCTGCACTGAAAGCAGGCGGGTGGGACTCTCAGGCGAGGGCACAGGTGCTGGGAAGGACATCTTTACTGAGCTTTTCTTTCTGCACATCCCACTACCCACAGGCAGGCAATGCCTTAGCATCCTACCGAGTTTCAAAAGTAGGGTGTTTGGACTGGCACAAGCGGGAGCCCCCATGCGGTTTCTCTGATACGCTTTGGATTTGATCAAGGCAAGGTCTGCATCCCTGTTGGTCACGGTGCAAAGCGAGGTCCTGCCTTTCCCTTCTGGCCACTGGTTGCAGGGTTCCATGGCCAAGGGGGAGGAGGGAAGGGAACCCCTCTGCTGAGTGCAGCCACAGAAGCACCTGGAGGAACTACTGAAGATGAGGAAGAAGGCTGCCATTGAGAGGAAATGGTGACTTTCCTGAAAAAGCGAGATAGCTTTTCCAAAGTGCCTCCTGCCAAACAAAAATGCAATAACTGAGCTGGAAATATGCTGGGGCAGAATCCAGGCATTCCTCTTTCTTGGAGAGTCGTGGGAATATTTATGATCATACTGGCCCCAAGCAGATCTCTAACTAGAGACAGAAGTAGGAGACCTTTTGGAGTTCTCTGTGGCCCTGTTTAGGGCTTACTACCCAGGATAATTTGGCCCTGTTACTACTTGCCCCCAATAATTTAAAGGCACCCTATGTTTCATCCTTCCAGAGAGAGTTCTTGGCACACCATTCCAAAGGAGCATTGTGAAAGAGACTGGGCACAACCAAGCCCGGGGTTATTTGGCATGGTGTCACCCCTACGACCACTGCTGACATTTCAACTGTCTCCCGTAGGGTCTGCCCATCCTGTTCAATCTGACAGAATTGGCATGCTCCAAGTTGCACCCTTAAAAGTGTCATCGGATGAGACTCAGGAAGCATGCCTTGTCACTGCTCCTACCCTCTGGAACCGTATCCCCCCAAGATCCAGATGGCTCCCATCCTTGCCTTATTTTAAAAAGACCTTAAAACCTGGTGGTGGTGGTCTTTTTCCTCCCAGGCCCTGGGCTAATTTGGTTGCTGGGGTCCTTTAGAGCGCTGTTGCCTATGTGACAATTTTGGCTGTTCCCATCAGCTGCTGTTCATCATTTTCACCCACTTTTAATGTGCTTTTGGGGATGCGGTTCCAGAGGACAGGAGCTTGCACTCATTTTTCCAGGGAAGTGTTTTCTCACATTTCTAAAATTGGATCACTGGTTGGAAGTAACAGACTCCTAGGTGTGTTTGTTGTTTTTCAGTTGAAAACTCTGGAAGGGCATCAGTCCTGGGGTTGCCCAAAGCCAAAGTTTTCCAAGAGGGCTCTTTGGGAATGTCTAGCTGACTTGCTAGGGCTGGAGAGGGGCAAAGCACCTCCTCTTCCAGGCCTCTAGAACGACCCTGGCAGCGATGGACCCTCTCTCTGGATTTAAGGGGAAAGCCAGAAACTGCTGGTAAGAGCTGCTCGGTTCCGCTCTGTGGCTACTCTCCAAAGTGCCCTACTTCCAGAGCGGCATGGCAGATGAGCCAGCCTTCGTGCCTTTGACAGTTGCCCAAGGATCAGGTGCTGGAGGAGGCGATTCCAACTGGCAGTAGCAGTACCAGAGCTACATTCCAAAGGCCCTTCTCTTCTCTTGCACAGTGGAGACCCCAGCCCTCGGGAGAATTCAGGTAGCTCCCACCCGTAGGCTGTTCAGGGAATTACTGAAGACCTGGTCTGTGGGGGACGCTGAAGCCCCCTTGTTGCTTTGCTTTGCTCTGTTGTGATCTGATTGGTTTTGCTCTTGTTCTGCATGCTGCTCTTCTGACCGACTGTATTTCTTTTACTAAGTTGGTTTTTTAGTTGTTTAGAAGTTGGGCGGCCAATCAAGCAAACAGCATTCTCCTCAGGAGACCCAGTTTTGCAGCAATTCTCAGCCCCATGGAGCTTACAATCAACAAGTAGAGTGGAAAGACCAGGGAAGGGTTTGCCTCTCGTTTCAGGTGGGTGGGGGCAAGGGGCTCAGCCCAAGACAGGTTTTGAGCTGGGCCTCCCTGGGGAGGCAAGGGTGGAGGAAACAGAGGAGCCGCCCCTCGGCAACGGCCTACTTGGGAGTTGCGCCTGTGTTCCCTGACCAAGGCCCCCCAGCACCCACTCCTTTTGCCCTGCAGCACTGTTCTTCCTCCCCCTCCCTCCTCCTCAGCTGCTCCTCAGCGCCTCTCACACCTTGGGAGTGCTGGGGGCAGACCAGGCAGGAGGGGGTGGGGGCGGGGTGCTTTTCCTCTGGGCTTGATTCCCCTGCCCCCCACCCAGAATTTCCCTGGCAAGATATGTGCTTGACTTTGGCAGAAGACCATCAAGAAGACAGGTGGGACCCAGGCAAGCTCATTCTCCCCCAGGGGCCTTCCCTGCTGCCTGGGCTGCTAAGAATAGCCTGCCTACCTCCTTAATTTGTGGGGGAACAGAAAATGAGGAATCACCAGCCTTCCTGGAAGGCACCTCCTCTTCCCCCTTACCCCGATGGGTGGCTGGCCATTGAAATTAAGACTGGAACCCCCCTCAGCTCCCTTAATCTGGGAGACAAAAGCCTCACTCTGAAATCTACAAAAGGGGGCGGGGGGGCACGGGGGACGTGCTTGCACTTTCCCATCAAGGCTGAACTTAAAATCTAGAATGCCGCTTTTTCAGAATGCTGCGCCAAACCCTCTTGGGGTGGGGGGGAGGAAAGCAGCCCTTCGCGCAGGGCTGCTGCTGCCGCCGCGGTGAAAGCCCGTCCACGGCACCAGGCGTCACAGCAGAGGCGCCATGCACGCGCCAGAGGTTAGGTGGGTTTCCCTTCGGTGACATTACCTCGCTGCCACCTGACGGGCGAAATAGGCCTTCCTGCCCGCCTCCTGAATCGCGAGGGCCTCCTGGAGGGGATCTTGCGGCTCCCGCTCCCCTCCGGCGCACTCCCCGGGGGGCAGATATTAAACTCCGCCCGCCACCCCGGAAGTGGGCAGCGCAGGGCAAGCGTCCCCCCAGGAGGTCCTGGACACGCGCGGCAGAAGCCACGGCGCCGCAGCCACTCTCCCTAA